GGGAGAGAAAGGGTTTGTCGGAGAAGAAGAAGGGATGGGAGAGGGTTATCTGTTTTTTCTTTTCTTTTTAATTACAGTTGTCAATTTTTAAGAAAATTACACGTGTCAGATATTTATTTATTCATTTGACACGTCACAAGCGTGTGAATTACACGCATCTTTGTATTTTGGCTACCTATTAATTTTGTGTCTAAATGACACATTTGATATGTGGTTGGAGTATTCAAATGGAACGGACTTAAAATAGAGTGCTTAAGTGAAAAGTGAAGACAAGTTTAATGAGTTGTCAATGTATTCTACCTATAACAATTAAGATAGTGAAAGAGATGATTTAAGAAAAGCGGGAAAATAGGTAATTCGGCTGGCGCATAAGCACTCGTCATCTCGCATATACGCTGCTTACATGAAATTCACATAGCACATAGTCCGAGGATTCTTAATTCACTCAAATCAGGGTTAGACATAACACTTACTTCGCTCCAAAGACCACTCAATGCTCAACCACATCTTTGCCTCTCAAACAACCCCCCGAACCAATAGAATCTAGCAAACCAAACGATTCAAATTAAGCCTTAGGAACAACTCACGATTGCAATGAATTCAATTTAGGCCATTTTTAAAAAAGTCAATAAAAGTCAAACCCTACACCCACTTGGTCTAATCCCGAAGTTTGGACCAAAACTCGATTATCCATTCACTCCCGAGCCCAATTATGTAATTTGTTTAAGAATCCAACCTCAATTTGAGGTCTAAATCCCCAATTTACAAAATCTCTAATTTCTACCCAAAACCCCCAATTTCCATCACGAAAACACAAGATTTAAGGTTGAGATCTTAGAAAATGTAGCGAAAGACTGAAAGAAACTAGTTTAGAATCACTTACCAATGCTTTGGAGAAGAAAAGTTCTTTGACAAATCGCCTCTTGGGTTTCTTGTTTTGAAAATTGTGAAGAATGAGCAAAATCCCATCTAAGTCAAGTTTTACCCAGCTGCAGATGTCGGATTTGTGACCTGAGGTTCGCAAATGCAAAGAAACCATCGCAATTGCGATGTCCTCGCATCTCTCCATTCATCGCATTTGCGATGAGAAGTTCGCAAATGCGAACACTGAGTTTCCGCAAATGCGAATATTTGATTGCATTTGCGATCATTGCCCCCACATGACATGCGAAGCATTGTTCGCAAATGTGAAAATCATGTGGCCCAGCTACTCTTCGCAAATGCGATGAGTAGCTTGCAAATGTGAGCCCATCAGAAGCTTGCACCAGAACTGAAACACCAACAACATTTTCTAAGTCCAATTTCACTCCGTAGCCTATCCGAAACACACCCGAGCCCTCGGGGCTCTAAACATACTATGCACATAAGTCTAAAAACATCATACGAACTTACTCGCACGGCAAATCGCCAAAATAATACCTAGAACTACGAATTGAACACCAAATCAAATGAAATTTTCAAGAAAACTTTGAAACTTCTATTTTCACAATTGGACGCCCGAATCACGTCAAACCAACTTCGTTTCTCACCAAATTTGACAGACAAGTCATAAATGTAGTATTGGACCTATACCTGGCTCTAGAACTAAAATACGGACCCGAGATCCAAAATTCAAACATCGTCCAAAGATTTCAAATTCATTAAGCCTTAAACTTTCAAATTTCTACAAAATGCGATAACTCGGGCTAGGAACTTCCGAACTCAATTTCGGGCATACGCCCAAGTCCCAAATCACGATACGGATCCAGCGGACCGTCAAAACACGAATCCGGGTTTGTTTGCTCAAGACGTTGACCGAAGTCAACTCATATGGATTTTAAGGTAAAATTTCATATTTTTCTTTGTTTTAACATAAAAGCTTTCCGAAAAGACGTCGGGCGACGCAAGAAAATTGATGAAGGCTAAAATGAGGTCTAAAACAATCATTCATCCTTTAACGGACATAGAAAAGTACGTGAACTGGTGAAAAGGTGGGGATATCTACTCTGGATTCCAACTCGGACTTTCAAGTAGCTGCCTTGACGGGCTGACCTCTCCACTGCACTCGAACCGAAGATTAAATCTTCGACCGCAACTGACAAACCTGTTGGGCTAGAATAGATACCGACTCCGCTTCGTAAGTCAAAATCCTTGTCCAACTGGACAGAGCTAAAATCTAACACATGGGACGGATCGCCTTGATACTTTCGGAGCATGTACATATTGAACACCGAATGAACTACTGATAACCCTGGTGGCATTGCAAGCCTGTAAGCACCCACTCTCTCAAGAATCTCAAAAGGCCCGATATACCTAGGGCTTAACTTGTCGTTCCTTCTGAATCTCATTACACCCTTCATGGGTGATAGAGGGAGCAACACACTCTCTCTGACCATGAATGCAACATCACGAACTTTACGTTCGACATAACTCTTCTGTCTAGATTGGGTTGTGCAAAGTCGATCTTGAATAATCTTGACCTTATCCAAGGCATCCTGTACTAGATTTGTACCCAACAACCGAGCCTCCCCCGGCTAAAACCACCTAACTGGCGATCGACACTGCCTACTGTATAATGCCTTATAGGGAGCCATCTGAATGCTCGACTAGTAGCTGTTGTTATAAGCAAACACCGCAAGTGGAAATAACTGATCCCACGACCCCCCAAAATCTATAACACATGTGCGGAGCATATCCTCCAATATTTGAATAGTGCGCTAGGACAAACTGTTTGTCTAAGGATGAAGTGTTGTGCTCAACTCAACCCGCGTGCCCCATTCACACTATACTACTCTCCATAAGTACGAGGTGAACTGCATACCTCGATCAGAAATGATAGACACGGGCATACCGTGAAGACGGATGATCTCACGGATATAAATCTCTGCCAATCGATCTGAAGGATAGGTAACTGCCACATGAATGAAATGAGCTGACTTGGTCAGCTTGTCCACAATGCCCCAAACTGCATCGAACTTCCTCTGAGTCTGTGGAGTCCAACAACGAAATCCATAGTGATATGCTCCTACTTCCACTCGGAATCTCTATTTTCTGAAGCAAACCACCGGGTCTTTGATGCTCATACTTTAATTGCTGACAATTTAGACACCGAGCTACATAAGCAACTATATCCTTCTTCATTCTCCTCCACCAATAATGCTGCCGCAAGTCCTGATACAACTTGGCGGCGCCCAAATGAATAGAATACTGGGAACTGTGGGCCTCCTCAAGAATCAATTCACGAAGTCCATCCATATTAGGCACATAAACACGACCATACATCCTCAAGACTCTTTCATCCCCAATAGTAACCTTCTTGGCACCACTGTGCCGCACTGTGTCCCTAAGGACCAACAAATGAGGGTCGTCAAACTGCCGATCTCTGATGCGCTCAAACAAAAAAGACCGAGCGACTGTACAAGCTAGAACACGGCTGGGCTCTGAAATATCCAACCTCACAAACTGGTTGGCCAATATCTGAACATTTGATGCAAGCGATCTCTCACCGACTGGAATGAATGCAAGGTTGCCCATACTCGCTGCCTTTCTACTCAAGGTGTTGGTCACCACATTATCCTTCCCGGGATAATACAAGATGGTGATATCATAGTCTTTCAATAGCTCCAACCACCTCATCTACCTCAAATTGAGATCTTTTTGGTTGAACAAATATTGAAGGCTCCCATAATCCGTGAAAACCTCACACGGCACACCGTAAAGATAGTGCCTCCAAATCTTCAGTGCATGAACAATGGCTTCCAACTCTAATTCATGGACAGGTTAATTCTTCTCATGAACCTTCAGCTACCGCGATGCATATGCAATCACCCTGCCATCCTGCATCAATACTGCACCGAGCCTAACACGGGATGCATCACAATATACCGGCGTTGTAGTTAAAGCAGTCTTAAGCTTCTGAAAGCTCGCCTCACACTAGTCTGACCATCTGAATGGGGCAATGAGACTGCTATAGATGAAAACCCTTCCAAAAATCGACAGTAATAGCCCGCCAAACCCAAGAAGCTCCTGATCTCCATGGCTGAAGTGGGTCTAGGCCAATTCTGAACTGCCTCAATCTTCTTAGGATCTACCTGAATGCCCTCTGCTGGTACAACTTATGCCCTCTGCTGATACAACGTGCCCGAAGAAAGTGACTGAATCCAACCAAAACTCGCAATTTGAAAAATTAGAATATAATTGGCTGGTTCTCAGAGTATGAAGTACAATCCTAAGATGTTGCTCGTGCTCCTCTCGACTACGGGAGTAGATCAAGATATCATCAATAAACACAATCACAAAGGAGTCCAAATAAGTGCTTGAACACTCGGTTCATCAAATCCAAAAATGATGGCGAGCATTTATCAACCCAAAGGACATCACTAAAAACTCATGAT